GGTAATGTGCTAATTAGACCAGACGTCTTCCAGACGTCATTCTGGACATCCTTTCTGACAAAAGCGGGGCTGAAGGGAAGTCGGTGCTGGAAGCCGGGGAAAGGAAGACCTACTCTTGCATGAATTTTTGTGCATTGGGCCTCTAGTTTAGTATATTCACAATATTGTGGCACTATGACTAGTACCTAGTTCCTGAACAGTTTCATCACCCTGAAAGGAAATCCTGCCATTAAACAGTAACCACTTATTTCCTCTCCCTCCCCTCCCTCCTCCTGCCCCTCCAGAATATCACTAATCAACATCATTTGTGACTTAGGTAGAAAAAAAAAGTTAATCTCTGTAATGAAACTTAGGGTTGAATTCCTGCTCTACACGTAACAGCTGTGGCATTTGGGGCAAATCACTAACCCACTGAGTCTTGTTTCTTCATTAAATAATCCTACCCTACAGCATTGTTGTGAGGACTAAAAGAGACTGAGATAATGTAAGTAATTCTACTCCTAGGTTAGGGCTTCCATAACATTAATTTTGTTTCCTATTGCCATAATATATTACCTTTTTCCTCAGTAGTTCCAGTGGCTTAAACACTTAAACCACTTCTCATTTCAACAATTATTAGGAAGGAAATATGCAGAAACAGAAACAGGAATTGTAAACATAAGGTTGTTTGGTATTTCAGCAGAGAAACAGAGAAATTCAATCTGAGCTCATCTTTCAAGGTGCTCCGAAAAGTTTGGTGACAATTTAGTATTACCCTGGATGCTAGTGTATGTTCAAGGCCTGAAACCATAGCAATTAAGAAAAAAATCAGCCGAAACCGGTTTGGCTCAGTGGATAGAGCGTTGGCCTGTGGACTGAGGGGTCCCGGGTTCGATTCCGGTCAAGGGCATGTGCCTGGGTTGCGGGCACATCCCCAGTGGGGAGTGTGCAGGAGGCAGCTGGTCGATGTTTCTCTCTCATCGATGTTTCTAACTCTCTATCTCTCTCCTTTCCTCTCTGTAAAAATCAATAAAATATATTTAAAAAAAAAAAAAAAGAAAAAAATCACTGTTCTATGTAAGTTTTTTTTTTTTTTCTATTGAGATCATGGCAACAATCCTGTGAAGTGGACAGGGCAAGCTAGCATTACTATCTCCATTTTTTAGGAACCTATAGATCAGAGGGATTAAGTGACTTGCCAGTGATTACAAGACTAGCTCGTAAGGAAGCTGGGCCTGAAGCCATGTCAGTTAATGAGAAATTACATAGTATCTAAGTTTTTGAGAAAGTCTCAAATAGTTAGATAATACCATTGAACAAATAAATATTTTATTTACAAGTAAAGATCTATTGCAATGAATACCACTGCAGAGATCCTATTTAAAAGGACCTCCATGCTATTTAAGAGGAGACTATGCTATTTGCAATACTGATTTTGGGAGAAGAGGATCGAAGTGTGTATGTGGATACTGATTCTGACCAAAAGTTTGAACAATATGCATAATGTTTTCAAGGGCTTTGTAATCTGACTTGACTATGCATGGATTTTATGGTAATACATACATTGCTATTCTACCATACCATTTGAAGGTGTCACAGAGTAGAATCCATAAATCGATTAGGCAATGTGTAAGTAAGTATACGGGTCTGCATTACTCAATCTCCTTAGCATAGATTCTTGAAGGCACAGCCTATGCTTTATTTTCTAAGAAATATGGAATGCTTCATGAATTTTGTGCAGCGAGCGCCAAAGCCTATGTTTCTTCCACCCATTTTATAGTGTCTACTACTAATTAATGAATAAGTACATAAATGAGTAAATGAATGCACTTTCGTTAAAATTATCCTTTGTTTACTCCCCATTTTGTCAAAGGCACTTTTTTCTATACCTGACCCTTGAAGGTCAACTTTTCTCTCCTGTCAATAAAAAATATTTCCACCCAAGCCCAGACTATATTCCCTCAAGATCCTTTCTTCCCCAGGCCACCAATTTATCCCTTAAGCAACAGGTCAAAGTGACTCTCATAGTCATTTGGACCTTGACTATGGTGGGGTCCCCTGAACTGCTCACATAAATTTGCTTACAACCATTTCCATTATCTTATTCAGTTCTTATTAACCAAGCTTCTGGTCAAAATCAGTACACACAAGGTTCTTTCTGGTGCTTCCCTTTACCAAGCTTTTTACTTCTGCAGCACCTCCCATGCATTTATTATAGTGTCCCACACTATTAGAAGAGATGAACTTTGTGATTAGCCAGTTAATAAACAATAAAAAAATAAAAAAGAAAGAAATCTCCACAATTCTTATTTATATTTTGTCAATATAGTGCTAATAAGTGGCTGTTGGAAATAAGTTTCCTTTTTGGGTAAAAGGGTGAGAGTAGGGTTATGGAAAAAGAGAAAGGAAGAACTTTTTTGAGCATCTACTTTATGTGATGTACTTACTAAATTCACAAAAATCTTACAATTAAGGCAGAGAGAGTAGTTGTTTCTAAATATTCATTCTTGGAAAGTAATATATATTTTTTTTTGGAAGATTTTGAGTTTTATAGCAAACCATACTGTACAGACCCGGGGCCCAGCCCTGCTGAGTAATAGAATTTTTGGTGGGCACATTGCTATATAACTAAGGTTTATATTTCCCAGTCTCTCTCACAGCGAGGGACAGTGAGGTGATATGGGTAGAATGGAGGTGTGGAGCTATGGAGATGTGGAACTTGTGGCTGGT